CAGGGCTCTGAAGACATAATTAAAAAAAAAAGCTCTTCTGATCGGGCCTGGAGTCTTCTGGAGGTGCCCATGAAATGATGTGGTGACTCATCCTCACCACACTGACAGTGTATGTTTTCTGACCCACCTCACTGCTGACCAAGACAGTCTTACTCTTAAAGAGAAGAGCTGTTTGTTCATGTCCCCTATTGCTCAGAGAGAATTCTCTATTTTTCTTTTATAACTTTTTATGAGACTTCAGTTTTTAACATACATAACTAAGACAGCACAAGTACAGTATTTACATTTCATGTTCTTTTTAATATGTATGCCATTTTGAAAGAATACTGTTGAGATTGTGATCTAAAATATCTGTGAGGGTTCAAAAAGGACTCATGGAATCTGGTCTTCACAAATCCACTGTATAATGACATAAACAAAATATAGCTAAACATCAGGGTTCACCCAGCCATAAAAATACTAATTCTCACTGGTCACCAAATGACAGCCTACATGTCAAATCAAGCTGATGGCCTGTTTTTGTACAGCTGCAAGCTAAGCATAGTTTTTATATTTTTAAAGGGATATTCAAACAGCAACACGAAACTAAACAACAAGGAAGAATATGTGACAGAGATCCCTATGGCCTGAAATTATTTCTATATGGCCTTTTACAAAAAAGTTTGCTGACTGCTGCTCCATAAAAAAACAATTGAGAGAGCTAGCTACGGAATATCATGATGAGTATTAAATAAGACGCTGCTGTAATATGCTGGTGCCATCAGCACTACTCACTTCTAAAATGAGGCACTTCTGTTTGAATATGTTCATTTCCAAAGCACAATTACATCTAGAAAGTAGCACTGCTACTTAACTCTAGCCCTTTGTGATTAGGCCTGCACACAACATCACAGTAGTCATAGGGGTTGAAACAAACAAGCAAAATTTCTTCACATGTCAGTCATTAAGCTACTCAGTAGTTACTAGTGGTTTAAGACCATTTAAGAGTTTAAAAACATTGGTTTAATTATGTCTTTTCATTAGGATTAAAGTATGCATAATGGCATTTCTATTCATCCCAATCATTTCAAGTTAGTTGTTGACTTGTCATATGTTTTTTATTTGTGTCCTTGATCATATCTTGATTGAATAAAATGTTTTTAAAAAGAGTTTTATATATTAATAAAACCTATAATGTAGATACTTCCAACAGGAAGTGATATTCTACGTTATTTCAATAACATCAATAAAAAAGATGTCTAGACATCCCCATTCATTATTTTCAGAAGAAATAATGACTAGTTAACTTAGAAGCTACTTTTTAAAAATGGGAAATGAAAGGACCGGCAGGTGGTTAAGGTTCTGGACTCCCACATGGCCAACCATGTCCCAGACTCGGTGGTTTGAAAATCACACCAGGCATATGGGTGTGCATCCCTCAAATCCTGAAAAGAGAATAGAGGAAAAGGAATTGCAGTGTGGTTATCCCTGCTGTGGGGATGATTTCTCACTTTCCCTCTCACTGTCTCTGACTCCCTCTTGAGAGCACGCATGCCCTATGGCAAAATCCTAAAAAAAAAGGGGGGGATGAATGGAAGAAGGGGGGAGCATGAAACTATAGTGAAAGGCTTTGGAATGCAAATATTGGGGTCTCTTAACAATCTCTCCCAAGTTGGCCTAGACTTCTCATATAAAAGTTAGTCTACAGTGATTGCCGTGAGAAACTAGCAAGTGTCTCTCGTCAATGTCTCCCTTTGTTTTCTACAAAGCTGAGGCCACACTCGTTGCTCAGTCTAAGCAAATTGGGATGTGATGTCCTGGTGTCCTTGCCTGTGGTGAACAGATGAGCAATTACTTAGGCATTCTGAGGGTCTAAAGCATCAGTCTGAAATGTCTAGTCTACCAGGTAGTACTTTATTGGTTGGGCTGGAATTATTACTTTGATTTGCTAGTACCCTTTCTGATTCTATAACTTAATTTGGAATTAAAATAGAGAAATTTGTGAGCTAGCAGGCCACATGGTGGTTAAGGTGCTGGAGTCTCACATGGCGGAATGCAGACCCGGTGGCTTGAAATTTACGCCAGGCACATGTGCATGCATGCCCAAAATCCCCAGAGGAGAATGAAGGAGAAAGGACTGTAGCATGCCCATCCCTCCTGGGGATGATTTCTCACTTTCCCTCTCTCTGTCTCTCTCTGGCAAGCACACATGCCTTATGGCAAAATCCTAAAAAAAGAAGAAAAAAAGAAAGAAAAGAAAATAGAGAATTTTATTTGCATTGCTTGTGTTCTTTATTAGCTAATGTTTGGGTTGACCTTGGAATTTTGAAACAGTCAAAGAAAAGAGCATAGCATCTTTCTGCTGTCATTTGGTGGAGCCAATACATTTTATTTGTCCTTCTGAAGAGTGGCTTTATTTTTAGCTCAATGCAGTGTGTTAGATGGATGTCCTGTCCATTTCCACAAGGCAGTTCAGATAACTCAATCATATTTGATTTTAGGGAGAAGTTCTTTTTGTTCCAACTTAAAAGCATCAAACATTACTAGAATAGGGATACGGTGTTCATCATCCTTAATGGGGTAATTAATGTATGAGGTATTTGACATGTTTCCATACCATTTGTTGGATTTCCTTGAGTTTTTTTTCTTTGAAGCTTTTGTGTTTTTGGCATGTCACTTTATGGTTGCAGGAGGATTATTAGGCTCTGGTGCTTGTAGGAAACAGAGACACAGTCAGATAACAATCCTTTGAGAAATGAGAGAATCTATGGCTTTGGAAACAAGGACAACAGGAGTCCCGCATCACCCAGAGAGAGATGTAGAGCTGAGCTTCTTCAGAGCCTGGAATTTTCTGTAGAAGCCAATAGGCACCAATGTAGATTTAGCATTCTCAGCAATAGTCTTCTGCACTGGCTTGACCACTCTCTCAATGCAGAGCTATGCTGTGGTTAATAAATCCAGGGCTCTGAAGACATAATTAAAAAAAAATTATTTGTTATTATTATTTTTAAGAGGTTTTTGCTATAGGGTGCATGCGCTAGCCAGAAAGACAGGGAGAGACCGAGAGATAGAAAGCAAGAAATCACCCCCCAGGGGAAATGACCATGCCGCAATCCCTTCTCCTCCATTCTCCTCTCTGGGATCTTGGGCAACCACGCACACGCACCCAGCGTGAGTTTAAGCTGCCGGGTCCAGGACTTGAACCACGGTCGACTACATGGGAGTCCAGCAACATAGCCATTACACTAACTGCTGGTCCCTGTTATTATTATTTTTAAAGTGACCAGAGAGAGAGAGACAGAGAAAGAGAAAGGGTAAGTGAGAAAGGAAGCCAATGGTTCGGGGGCTTGAACCATGATCAGCCATGTGGGAGTCCAGGGCCTCAACTGCCACACCTCTGGCTGGGCCCTACAGACATACTTTTCAAGTGATGTGATTCTTCTGAGTTGTTGGAAAAGTCATGATGCATTTTTGCATAGAAAAACACATTATGACTTTTCAAATGACCCAGTAATTTCCCTTTTGCTACAAAACCATTTGCTATTTTAGCATGAATAACTTTGAGGTATTTAAATCTGCAATTGAAAAGAAAATAATATTTCAGGCTCATTTACACTGCCAGTTGATGCAGCTTCAGGACAAAGTAGGACAAAGACCACCAATTTTTCTCAGATTGGTTAGTTATTTCTCCCTCTGAATTCCCTGGCCAAGCTGCTACTGTTGCTCTGAGAAGCTATCCAGTCTTAAAGTTTACACTGGGCTCTAAAGAAAATGACCTCTGCTGTCCCCTGGTGGCTGGTCATGAAGCCAAGTTTGTGACCTTTTCCCAGGTAATTTTCCTGTCACGTACAATATCATTGGCTCCAAGTACAAAGCTAAGGACACTGGACTTCTCTGTGCAATCTAATGCTTACATTGGAAATGATGCTCCACCAGCTTAGCTACTCAGATTACTCCCCTATGCACAGCTGCCAGTTTCAGAATCATGTGCCATGGTCAAAGACTTGTGTGAGTCCCATGCCTAGACCCAGGCCTCTCCAGAAGAACACCTCAAATAGAACAGCCTTTGTTGAAGCATCTTCACATTAGTTTCCTCTTGTAGTCATTGGGAACTTGTCCTCAGACTCCAGGACTCGGTTTATATCCTTTCTTCGACGTAGCTGCATCTTTCATGAGCTAGGAAGAAAGTCATGAACAAGCATCCCTCCTTTAGTTTCTTAGTGTGGCAGCCAAGATAAGAATGTTAGTCTCTAAAGTAAACTGGGAAGCTTTTTGTTTTTGGACAGTTCATGATAATAAAGCTGCTGGGAGAAAAACACTCAATATCATGGAGGTGCATTTTAAACCTCTTTTGAAATCCACAAAGGGATGCCCGTGGTGAGATGCTTCTTCAGCTAGGATGTGATTTGGCAGCCTCAGGTTAGGTCATCCATGGTACATTCCAGTATTAGAAATCTTGGCTGCCAAGTACTTACCATTTCAGATGAGTGCTAGCTCTCTTCTCTGAAAAGCAGAATTTTCGTGGGCTTGGATTTAATATCATATTAAGAAGGAAGATACAATATCAAATCCAACACCAACATTATTGGGAGACCAGCAGGAATTTAGAACATTCCTTTACCCACACCAAGATCCTAACATGATCGAGAGGGCTCCCGATGCTGACAATGGCCAAAGGCTAATCTAGCTTTTAATCATCATTTTTGAAGGAATTGTTTTTTCAAAAATAATTTATTCAAATATTTTATGCCAAAATAATTCCAAAAAGTATTCCTTTTTGTTAACTGCTTCCCAAGCAAATGTGCATTTAACTACATGAACACAACTATTACTTCATAGTTTTTTTTATTATAGACTTTTTTTATCCACATGAATGTTAAAGAAACTACAACAGAGTTAAATACCATTTTTTGATAACATGATTATATTCTTAATTACACTCAATATTAAACTGTAAAATATTTCCAGAGGAATACAATCTTCATTCATACAGCAGGCAAAGTACCAGAGAGGAAGGGGCCACGTGTAAGTCTGTCCAGTATTTGCTGTGAAAAGCAGGTTTGTATGTCTGATACCTTCCCACCTGTCAAAACACGATCTCCACTCCCAGAACAGGTCTTGTGTTTTCTGTCCATGGAGAATCACTATTTCAAAAGTAAAAGACAGTTTTTTAGAGCTGCTCTCTCCACGTGCGGCACTGAGATCACTTGGGATCATTCATGGATTTCTCACCCCGGTTGGCTAATAACATTTTCCACACTCTGGGTTCTGTTGTCCTTTAAAAACACAAAGACTCAAACTTTGGTTCCACCAAAAGATGCGACAAGCATTGACTGCTCTGGTTGGCTCCCCCCTCCCCCCACTAATGAATGGCTGCTACAGTCTATTTTACATGGTTGTCCATGCTGCTTCGAGGTCACTTGTCCTTGGGTTCTCCAGAACCTGATTTTGTAGATTCCCAAGCCCTTTCAATTTGCAGTTTTATGCAGGTCAGAAGTGCTCAGTGGCAGGCTGTATCTTACAAGAGAACAAGAGTAAGTGGTTCCGTGCACCTGGAATGAGACAGAAACACAGAATGACCACCTGGGTAGTAATAAAATAACTTAGAAACATTTCAAGTGATATTTAATATATCCTTCAGATAAGACATTTTTAGTACAGTTTGAATAAAGTATTTTAAAAAGTGACTGTGGGAACCAGCAGTTAGCGTAATGGCTATGTCGCTGGACTCCCACGTAGTCGACCGCGGTTCGTGTCCCGGACACAGTGGCTTAAAAAAGCTCACGCTGGGCGCGTTTGTGTGCGTGCCCACGATCCCGAGAGGAGAATGGAGGAGAAGGGATTGCGGCGTGACCATCCCCCCTGGGGGGTGATTTCTCGCTTTCTGTCTCTATGTCTCTGTCTGGCGAGTGCACGCGCCCTACAGTGAAAATCTCTCCAAAAAAAAAAAAAAGTGACTGTGAAAGAATCTTCCTTTTTACATATGTTTCTCTGCTATCTTAGGATGGGCAATGTCTGAAGACATTGAGCTAGACTAGAACTATAAATGTGCCAGTTTGCTATGCCTTCTTTATAGGAAAGCCATTTCTCTAGGTTCTAGAAGCTCGGGTTTGCTGTTCGGTAAATATGAATACAGCCAGCAATGAAGGGGTGAACAGAGTTTCATGCTCTGGTGCCTTGCTGGCTTTGGTTGAGTGCCCTGAGTTACATTGGTTTTCTTGTCCTAGGGTGTCAAGGCAACTTTAAAAGTATGACTGGGGGTTTTGTGATTCAAAACCAACAAAACCAATGGATTAGTTATTAGTTACTCAGTGTTGCCAGAGGGTGCATGTGTTTGCTGAGGGAAGAAAGAGAAAGAAACTGAGAAAGCACCTCCCCACACACCATTGAGAACAGTCACACCATAATTCATTCTCCTCTATTTCTCCTTCCTTTCAAGATTTTTTGGGGTACATGCACATGTGCCTGATGTGTTTTTCATGTCACCAGGTCCAGGACTTGAACCATACAGTCGGCTAGATGGGGTTCAACTGCCTTAACCACCATGCGATGGGCTAGTCCAACCACATATTATAACTGGTAGTAGAAGATGTAAAGTAGCCCATTAATTCAGTCCATGAATTCAGTTTTAAAATCAGAGGAGGACAAACAAAATATGGGCTTCAGTGAGAGCAGAAATGACTTACTCATCTCTGCTTTCAGCTTTCCCAGATGCGGGATAGTGAACATGGCAGTACTTATCTCAGTAGGTTGTTTTAAAGATTAAACAAGATAACCAACATAAAACGTTTAAAAGAATGGGGCATGTTGTTATTCTCAACGGAGATTCTTGAAAGAACCTGGTCTTGTTATGTCTTACAAAGGTGAGAGAAATGAATATACTATCCCTCCTCCCTCCCCACCCCCCGTTTATTTTTGGTCTTTACAAATGGAAGACAGTGTTCAATTGCAATCCCTGCACATTCTTTTAAGACTTCTTTCTTGTTATGACTTTTAAAACAATTATCCTAGAAATAAAATAAACATAATGGGAGTTTACCAAAGAGGTAGATATTGGGACCAGCAGTTGGCGTAATGGCTATGTTGCTGGACTCCCATGTAGTCGACCGTAGTTCGAGCCCTGGACCCGGGGACTTAAACTCATGCCAGGTGCGTGTGCGTATGTGCCCAGATCCCGAGAGGAGAATGGAGGAGAAGGGATTGCGGCGTGGCCATCTCCCCTGGGGGGTGATTTCTCGCTTTCTGTCTCTCTCTTTCTGGCGAGTGCATGCGCCCTATAGCAAAAACCTCTCCAAAAGAGATAGATATTGATAACATGGGGTGGGGGAGTCATGCTTGCAAACTCTCTATAAGGATGCCAAAAGGCAATTAGTGATGAAGAAAATGAAGACATAAGAAAAAAGTAGGTGGGTCATGCCCTTAGGTGTTACTTAAATCTGAACTTACTTTAATAAAAGCAGCTCCTTTGGAGCAAAGCAGCAAGAATATGGCAGAAGACTGGCACGTGAGTGTGGCAGTCAAAATTTTAGAGCTGATGGAGACTTTGATCAGGTTTGGCCACCTACATTTTACAGGTAAGGTGAGACTTAAAGAGATTCAATGACATTACTCAAGCTAACATAGGGAGAGGGTGTCAGAATTTGCTCCCAGTCTCCCTCAAGCCCAAGGGAAGCAGGGAACTGACTCAAGAGTCAAATAGACCGGACTGAATCTTGGCTCTGTCACTTGCCAACTATGTGTGACCTCCCTGAGCTTGAGTGCTCTCTCCATGTATGACGTGAAGGATAATAATGGGATCTCCCCTACAGAATGCTAAAGTACAAAGGTAACACAACAAAAAAATGTAGCTCAGCAAGGCATAGTTAGTGCTCATTAAATGACAGTTTCTGTATGTTCATGAATGAGTCATTTCCTTTAATTCACTTCCCACTTATGTAAAATGATTTAATTCTTCCTTGTGAAAGACACAGGTGTTTCAACTAGTTACATGAATGGTATTTGCAAAATGTTTAAAGGTACTTGATAGAAAATAAATATAAAGTAATAACTAAATTAGTGTTAAGATAATACCATTTTAATTTGCAATGCAGATTTCACACAGATTACATTGGGGTGTCTGTGCAGGAACTGTGGTACAGAGATAACTGGACATAATGAAGGCCATTAGGAATAATTTGGGCTTGAAAATGAGCCCAGATGAAAGGACAATACATACATTTTGAAATAAGTTTCAAATTCTTCCAGGAGCTCACTCTGTCACAAATATGTAGAGCAGTTCAAAGTCTAATAGGGCTTTATTTTAGGAGATGGTTTGAAGATAAATAAAATATTCTTTACACAACTGGTAGCTAAACAAATAGAATTCATTGCCCCCAAAGAAATTATGGCTCAGTTGAAAAATTTAGACAAATCCATGGGTAATGGATCTTTATAAAGAGCTATCAAGAAAAACTGAAGAGAAGTCAGTGTATACGCCTAAATTTGGAGGTTGATATCATTAAGAATAACAGCTTGACTCTTTTCATTGAATTATAGTTAACATCTAGGCCTGGATGGGCCTTTCCTTTGACTCAACATGGAATCTCTTATGTTCTACTAACATAAGGGCACAAAGGATTTGCAGAGCAGTGATATGTGGCTGCACTTGCTCAGCTTATTAAGTGGATTGCCTGTGGTTTTGAAAAGCTTCCTCCTCTTAATAGTCATATTGGAATCCACTGGGTGGTGAGAACATAGCACACTACCTTAAGGGTCACTCTTGCATAAGACATTAATGCATCAGTCCCTAATTTGGAAACCTGTGGTCACTCAGCAAGACAGAATGTGTCTCTCTCCCTTGGTGTAATGATTTTTATTTTGTAATCTCTCTTGGGGTAACTCCTTGCAGGCTTGGCATATTGAGAGTCAGAGACTGCCTCTAACAATGTGATCATGATTCTCTGCTTGGCTGATTTAGCTAAGCATTTAAGTAACCACTAATCTTCTGAAAGCACCAGGGTCTACTTAGAGAAATCCCTATTGTCTGCAAGGATGGAAACAAAATCAGCATGGAGGAAGCATTAGTTACTAAACACAAATCAATCTCTTTTTGTTCCACCTAGTTATACACTTTGTCACTATTGGAGGCGTGGTTTCTGGGCAGTGAGTCTTCATTTTGTAGGTGCGAAATGGGGTTGTGTCTGACAAGCAGGGAAGATGAGTTGGGGAAGTGAATGAATAAGAAGAGTTTATTGAAGTTCCGAAGTAGAAATCAAGCCACATTCTAATGGATGAATTACAAACATGGAGTAAAAGACACGCCAGAATGTTTAAGACGTATCATTTACATAAAGTTTAAAAACAGGCAAAATTCATCATCACTGGTGGTAGAGGATGGACAGAGGCACAAGGTTTCTATCAGCTGCTGGAAACCTGAGTGAGCTCATCTTGTGAAAATACACCGAGCTTTGGTTTCTAGACCTCTTGCTTCTTGTGACTTCATGATTTGCAGACTTTGCTGGATGTGCATTATACTTTAGACTTTTTATTATACTTTAATAAAAAGGTTATTTTTAAAAACATATGCTGAGGGGCCAGCAAGTGGTGTGTGGTGGTTAAGGTGTTGACTACCACATAGCTGACTGTGGTTCAAGTTCCAGACCAGGTGGCTTGCTTTCTTACTCCCTTGCTTTCTCTCTCTATGCCTCTCTCTAATCAATTTGGATAATGATAATATTAAATAAATGAAATGAATAATTATGAAAAAAACACGCTGATATTTTCTTTGACTTGAAAGAGAATTAGCTTGACATTTTTAACTTTTTAAAAAGATTTATTTATTTTATTTTTTTATTATTTTTTAAAGAATTATTTATTTAATTAAAAAAAATTTGCTATAGAGCACATGTACTCACCAAAGAGAGACAGAGAAAGTAAGAGGGAAAGTGAGAAAGTAAGTCATCAAGTCTGGAACTCAAACCATGGTTGCCCATGTGGGAGTACTATGCCCTAACCACCATGCCACCTGCCGGCCCCTATTATTATTTTTTAAAAATTTGACCAGAGAGAGACAGAAAGAGGGAGGGAAAGTGAGAAAGCAAGTTGCTAGGTCTGGGACATGAACTGTGATCAGCCATGTGGGAATCTAGCATCTTAACCACCATGTATCTGTCAGCCCCAGCATTGTCAACTTTTATAAATATGGAATTAATCAGAATTAATTTAGATAATTCTTGCCTTGACTTCTTTAACATTCTGAATTAAGATTTACTGGAGGGGCCAGTAGGTGGCGTGGTGTTTAAAGGCGTTGGAGTCACATGTGGCTGACCACGGTTCGAGTCCTGGACCTGGAGGCTTGCTTTCTTCCTTTCTCTTTCTTTGTCTCTGTCTGGTCAAATTAAAATAATAATGATAATAAATTGAAGTAACTAACTAAATAATTTTTAAAAAAAAAAAAAAGATTTACTGGAATCTGGGGGGCCAGCAGGTAGAATGGTGGTTAAAGTACTAGATTCCCACATGGCTGACCATGGTTCTAGTTCTGGACCTGGTAGCTTGAAAATCACACTGGGAGTGTGTGAGTGTGTGCCCCAAATCTGAAGAGGATAATGGAAAGGACTGAGGCATGACCATCCTTTCTGAGGCAGAGGTGGGAGTAGGGGTAATTTCGCACTTTCTGTCCCTCTGTCTCACTCTGGCAAGTGCACATGCCCTATCGTAAAAACGTAGAAAAAAAATTTATTGGAATCTGAATGTTCTAAAAAAATTTTTTTGAGAGGTTTTTGCTACAGGGCACGTGCGCTCGCCAGAGACAGAGAGAGACAGAGAGACAGAAAGCTCGAAGTCACCCCCCCAGGGAGGATGGCCACGCTGCAATCCCTTCTCCATTCTCCTCTCAGGATCACGGGCACGCATGCCTGCACACGCGCCTGGCGTGAGTTTAAGCCACCGGGTCTGGGACTTGAACCACAGTCTACTAAATGGGAGTCCAGCGACATAACCATTATGCTAACTGCTGGTCCCTGAATGTTCTAAAATTTTCATTTCACACCACAGGTGCAAACTTGGTCTAGTATAATGAGAAAGAAATCACCCAAGTCAACTTCTGTCTTAATAAAAATACTTTAGTATTTAGAACAGGGCCAATCTCACAGATGCATTTGTGTGCATTCATGGAGCTGCAAACGGAATGACTTATACTCTGCACATCTCTGTTGCATAAACATCTAATCACGAAGACAAGAAGTCTATGCTTAGGAAGCAGGTCAGCACTGGATCTAGTCGAGAGCCCTAGAATCTCTTCTTGGCTTTGCAACACACGCACAAGCACACACACTCCTCAGCTCTCTTCATTATGGCTCAGTTCTTTATGTGTAAAATTAAGGGATCATACAAATGAGAGATTGTTCAAAAGAGTTTGGACTGCCTGATGAAATGTAACATAATTATCATGTAAGACAAATACTGAAAATTACCACTGATAAAGATGATAACAAGAAGGAGAACTGTCGTATGCACATGCTAGAGGAGACCTGTGATGCGCAGAATAGATGCATGAAGGAAAGGAAGGAACTGTGAGCCTGCACTGCATTGCCTTTTTGCCTATATATTCTATTGAGTTGAAAACACATTCCAGAGAAGGAGTAGGGAGAATCATTCTGATGGGATTGGATGACTGATCAGTGGCCACAATTCTAGTTGGCCATGAGCACTAACAAATGCTACTTCTAGCACCTGAGCAGTTCCAACTGTTAGGTCGCCCCAACATACTGTTACAGAAACAACAGTGGCTTCGTGTTTGCCTTCCTGCAGTTCTAATAATTACACATGTCTTCTTCCATAGAACCAAAAGTTGCTTTTGAAATGTTTAGGTATGTTCTGAATATGGTCATTGAATTTTCTGTTTGTTTTTGCCTTAGAGTCTAAAATATTGGTCTTTTTTATGTATTTATTTTTTGAGAGAGTTTTTGCTATAGGGCACATGTGCCCGCTAGAGAGAGAGAGAGAAAGAGAGGTGGAAAATGAGAAATCACTCCCTGGGGGGATGACCATACTGCAAATCCTTCTCCTCCATTCTCCTCTCGGGACTTTGGGCACACACATACATGCACCTGGTGTGTTTTAAGCAACCAGGTCCGGGACTCGAACTGTGGTCAACTACATGGGAGTCCAGTGACATAACCATTATGACATCTGCTGATCCCAATATTTGTCTTTTAAATTGTTGCTGAGGAGTGAGATTGAACTTTGCTTCTGCTATGGTGAAACAATTGATGGTTTAGGGAAAGGGCAGAAAGTCTCAAAGGTCAGTTTTGGCCTCAGTATTGCCCATCGTCATAGGCAGTAACTCACTGAAAGTCAGATTTTGGAAAGACTTTTTGAAATCAAAAGAGGGATAGAGATGATTGCTGACCTCAGTGTCCTTTAGAGGAACAGGAATTAGGACCCAAAGGAGCAGAAAACTTTAAAACAAAATTAAGATCACTTCTATAGGCTGAAGACAATTTCCTTAGTTTCAGGGCTTTTCCATGAGATTTATAAGAAGCACTTAGCCATTCATTCAGGAAATCCCATCCCCAGACATAACAAAGTTCATCAGTATATTGACTTAACACAGGATGTGACTTGACCAATCCCTTGGGCTATTTCAAATGTATCAATAAACGGTCAACCAGTAATGATACAGAAAGTGAAGAAAATCTCTTTCCTCTGGCGATCTCACCTTTTAGCTTTTGCTGAGATGGGCACCAAGCTTTTCTTTCCTGATCAAGCTTGCTGCATAGGGGATCTGCAAGATAAAAACAAGCAAAGCCATCCAGGTAAGCTGAATCTGGAGACATATGTGTAATGGAGACCTTTCATCATGCCTAACAATTTGAAAGCCAATAGAGGGGAAGGGGTCTCCATCTGTGCAGCAATATGGGGCTTCTGGGATACAGCATTCCTAAGGCTTGTTAAGAAGCACTTCAACGGGATCAGCAGGTGGCGTGATGGTTAAGGGTGCTGGACTCCCATATGGCTGACCACTGTTTGAGTCCTAGACCTGTCTTGCTTTCTCTCTCTCTCTCTCTGTACTCTCTGGTCACATTTTTAAAGATAAATAAAGTTAAATAAAATAATTATTAGAAATTATTATATAAATATATATGTATAAATAATACGTGGTACTGCTGGGGCCGGCAGGTGGCATGGTTGTTAAGGTGCTGGACTCCCACATGGCTAACACATGGCTAACGGTGATTTACATCCTGAACTTGGAGGCTTGCTTTCTCACTTTGCCTTTCTCTCTCTCTCTCTGGTCAAATTTTAAAAATAATAATAATAACAAATTAGATTAAATAATTTTTTAAAAAAATATGGTACTGTTATTTTTTATTTAGGTACAAAAGCTGACTTATGATTTTCTAATCTCTGTTCAAGGTTTACAAAACAAGGAAGTGATTACAAACTAGTTCGATGTTATCTTTCAGTTTAGTAGAGTGATTTCTTTATAAAATACGCTTTCATTATAAATCACAAAAAGTAGTAACTTTACTCTGGGTAAATTCCCAACCATCAGGAATAACTACACAGAATGGAAAATATGACTCTTGAGAATTCTACCCAGATAAACTTGCAAAGTACTTCTAAATACTATGGTTTTGAATGAAAGCCTATCAGATTTGATATGCCACTTTCATCAGAAAATTTTAGTGGTTGAAACTGGACTAGATGTATTATTTAGATTTGAGTCTCCACTAACCCCATTTAAGGAGTTGTATTATTTTTGAGTCATTGGAAAAGTTATGGCATATTTTTCTATGCAAAAATGCGTCATGGCTTTTCAGATGACCTTCATCATTATGAGGCTAAACTCCAAACTCTAAAGATTTGAGTATGTTTTATGTTTAAGGAAATAAACATTCAACCTTCTTGAACAAAACATAAAATGTGGGTATTATGTTACAGCAGTGAGAGAAACAAAATTGTTTCATTCAGTTAGAGACATTTTTGGGAGTGGGCAAGTGGCATGGTGGTTAAGGGCGCTGGACTCCCACATGGCTGACCTGGTGGTTTGCTTTCTCACTTCCTCTCTCTCTCTCTGTCTCTCTTTGATCAAACTGGAAAACAATAATGATAATAATAATAAATAAAGTTAAAGAAAATAATTCTTTAAAAAAAAAGAAACATTTTTGAATACTGTTAAATACACTTCCCACATTCCTAGCATTCTGTATGTTGTGCTTTCTGATCCACCAATCCACACATGTGAACATTTATTAAATGGGAAGATGTGGGCCAGCAGGTGGTGTGGTGGTTAAGGGGCTGAAATCCACATATCTGATCCACAGTTCAAGTTTGGGATCGGGTTGCCTGAAAATCACACTGGGAGAGTGTGCATATGTGCCCAGAATCCTGAGAGGAGAATGGAGAAGGAATTGTGTTGTGGCCATACCTGGGGAATGACTTCTCACTTTGCCTCTTCCTTTCTCTCTCTCTCTTTTACTCTCTGGCAAGCCCACCTGCCCTATTGCAACAAAATTTAAAAAAAACGGGGAGATAATACACATGTACAGTGATGCTAGTCATTAGGACAAGCTGGACCATCTCACCGTGATAATCATGTAAATCAGTCTTTTTAATAAAAATGAAAAAGATTAAAATATCCATCTCACTACTTTAAAATAACCATCTCACCATAACATAAACATATCTGATCAAGGGTCTAGATAGCAGTATTGCAATAAATGATTCATATTGTAACATAAAAAGTTCAGTGTCTTAATCTCGTATTTTAGGGCGTGGGCTGAGATCAGCTAGATAACTATGACAAGGACAGTTACACAGGCGCCTACTCTAGTTACCTCTTCTTTTCACTCTAGGTTATGCTACACCTACTATTAACAGAGATACCCTTGAATCTTGGTTTTCCATTATGGTGTATGCTGCAACATGCCAAAGCACATGGGTCACTTCTCTCTCTGGGTGATGATAGAACAAAACCTCAAACGGAATTCTCTTATTAAGAATAACTGGAGGGGGCTGGCAGGTGGTGTGGTGGTTAGGGACACTGGAGTCCCACATGGCCTACTGCGGCTCGAGTCCCAGACCTGGCAGCTTGCTTTCTCACTTAACCTCACTCTCTCTCTTGCTCTATCCCTCTCTGGTCAAATTAAAATAAATAAATAAAGTTAAATAAAATGATTCTTAAGGAAAAAAAAAGAAAAGAAAAACTAGATAAGGGCCAACAGGTGGCATAATGATTAAGGTGCTGAACTCCCCCAGAACAGTCACGATACATTTTTGCATAGAAAATAGTTATGACTTTTCTGACCATCCAAATCGAATCATTCTTTTATAAAAGGAATTATCAGACATTATGTAAAGTTTGGGGTATGAGGAATTACCAATAAAATGTGTTTGTGCCACTCACACATTTAGAGTCCTGAGCATTAAGATTAGATGCCACAAAGACTCAGTGTTAGTTCTGTACCAGGCGCTGCAAGAGTTTAACTTAACTCATCATCATGGCCCATCTCATCAAAGTGAGTAGACTACTCTTCCTAACCCAACTAAAAATTGCCTGAAAGGCTCTACTTTTAGAGCTTAGTCAAAATGCCTTTTTTTAATCCTTAGCAACAATACTGTAATATTTCATTAAGGTAGGAAGCTGAGAAAGAAAAGAAGAAACAACTCTGGGGGGCAGAAGGAAACATTTCCAAATAAGCACATTTTGTCCTCAAAGCTCTAAAATGGAATTAAATCAATGTGAAGAATTATCCCCATTCAAACATTTAGTTTTGCATTTATTTCATTAAAACAAAATGAAATAAAAGCCAAACAACACAAAGACAAAAATTAAAAAAAAAAACAAACCCGTGAGCTGAGAATCATGTCTTTTAAATTCTAAGTCCTAAATCATCAGTGATAATTAACACATGGTCCAGTTGTTCATGGAAACTATGCCATTTCATTGATTTTAAGATGTATATTAAAGTTTTTTCCCCCTTATTCATGGTAGAGCATGTATGTGTATGTTTGAGAGAGAGAAAGAGAAAGAGAAAGAGAAAGATCCTGTGAGTACCCTCACAGGATCTGGTCTCCCTACAATCCTCTTCTATCAGTCCTCCAGCCAGCCCATCAGGTCCTGGGCACTTGCGTGTGTGTGCCTAGCATATTTCAGGCTGACTAGGCCAGGGATTCGAACGATGGTTGCCATGAGGGCTTCAGCTTCTCTTGAGTAGTGCATTACCTCTGTACCCCATATTCCTCTCATAATTAAATCAAATGTTTAATAACTGATGTTATCTTAGAATTACAGTTGGAAGCTTGTTCCCTGATCAAGTGATTCATCAAGTAATGGTGCCTCTTACAACTGGTGGCGCTTCACAGTCCATAACATGAAATATTGGATTTACAGATGCCACAGATCCCAGACTCAGGAGCTCAGGCTTTTGGAAGCTCCATTTAGGCTAGATATTTGATGTCCATCTACAAAAGTACTCTCAAACACTTTCTTTTTATTTTGACCAACTTGGTAATCACCAAGGTTGTCATGAGCAAAAAAACCTTCTAAATTACCTAGTTGGCTCTTGTACATCAAAACTATAGGAGTCTCACCAAAAAAAGAAAACATACCTTCTTAGCTTGTGCCAAGAAAGAATTAGCTGAGCTAATTCAACATTTCAAAAAGAAAAAGATGAGAAGAAAATGGTATAACTAAAGAAAAACTGATTTCATGGTGAAGATGTATGACAGTAGATCAGTAATTGGAAAAAAGCACGTTAGCCAAAGTCTATCACTAGAAAAATCTTAAGGCAGTTTCCATGAAGTTCAGGCTCACATCACTTCCCTGAATATATAGACTTCCTCTGGTGGCATATTTAGCCACAAAACCAAAATCTTTTGGTGACTTAGGGAACTTTTTCTAAAAATGTAATGCAAAACAGTAATGATTCTATCTGCTTTTTATTTTTTTTAAAAAGAAGTTAGACATTTAAAATAACTCTCTGAGTTGTGACAGTAGAAATCTGGGCAAGTTCCCATCCTAATGAATACTGGAGACACTCCAAGAAAAAAGGCCATATCACTGAAAAGCTGTGTCCCTGCCAAAGAGTGCGTTCCTCCAGCAGCAATAAAGACCTCTCGCTCCTTTCCCTGTGAAGAGGCATTGTGCTTCCACCACCAGAAATTATAAACTGCTTTTTTACAGGTCCACAGTGAGCAAAGCATTAGTACTAAATCTATTGATTAAACATTAATTTAATTGAGGCTTTTAATGAAGAACTTTGAGAACATTTCCCCCTGCTGCGTGTGACTGCAGCATTCTGGAAAAACAGCAGAGGGCACTTCAAGACCAGCACATCTTCTGGTAGCACTCCTCTAAATTCGAAGGATGTCTCCGTCTAACCATGTATCATGTGTTCTGTGCTGCAGTTTCACAGTGTCCTTCAAGAACTCTGACTTTAAAAAAACTGCATGTTTTTAGCAAACCTACAATAGAAATTTATGCACAGATGTACTTGCTTAAACCAGTATTACCAAATTAGCAAGGACAAAAAGAGATTATGGAAGCATCATAATGATCTCAGGTCATGTTTTAAGCTATTATATTCCAGTCGTTGGAAAAACTTTAATTCAAAGGCTATTCACTGAATAAAATACCTCCAGCTCCTTCTTAATCCTAAAAGATGATGGATTTTATTTTTTAGAATTAAACAAATTTATCCTAGAATCAGTCTTCATTTGCAAATGAGAAATCTTTTACCTTCAATTATACTAAACACTTAAATTTTCATGCTTACTAAATTTTGCAACTTTTTAATTTGTTTCATAGTGGGAGGAATACATTTCTTTGTTTTACATAAATAAATCTGGCTTAGTAAGGAAAGTGCTATAAGCATTTGAAAATACAGATCAGAGATGGAGGACTAATACAAAGTGCATTAAGTACTACACGCCTCAAATTTTAAGTTATTTTTTTAAGTAAGCTGTGGCCATTAATAACTATTAAATAAATTAATTGTGCATATGCATCAAATCTCACATTGAGCTAAATGCACATTCATTTATAAATGCACAAAGTCAATCATAGCTATCATAATGTTGCATTTAACAAACTGGAAAAAGAAGCAATGGTGCAGATATTATAGTCAGCAGAGAATCTAAAAATTTAGGAGCCAAAGAAATTCATAAATTTCCTTTCTACAGCAATGATACCCAAGGTGCTTTCTATATCAGTCTTTTGAACAGGAACATTGTGTAACAACATAGGATAAATGCATTATGGGTCTATGGGAATCATTACAAAATATGATAGTTTTAATATATTTGAATTTTCCATGATTGCAAGATAGGGTGGGGTTTTATTTCACTTAAAGAAAAAATGCTTTTTCTGTATGCTAAACTTTAAATATAAAACAAGTTTGAGTGAGTTGCTCTGTTTTCAGAAAGGAAAGCATGCAACCATGTTTACTGATGAAGGAGATCATTCAACTAAAATATTGAGAAAGCCCATAATTGTGATATTTTACAACTTCTTGACAATCTTGAGGCAGAAATTTCTAAAGGTATTTTCCCCAGGTACTTTAGCAAATGCACAAGCTGAATAAGAGACTAGATAAATTATGGTTCAAATAATGTGGAGACTGTTGTCTCAGTCTGTAAGCCTATGGTATAATGCAAACAGGTACTTCTTGTGCAAAAATGTCTCTAGCTATGAGGGCTCAATTAGTTTCACTATCATAGGCTCTACTTTGAGAATACCATTAAGTTGATCACTCACACTAGCATAACATTTATGGCTTGCATGTGTATTTCATGTTTATTACTCACTCACACCTCATACTATGTCTGTCAGAACACTAGATTCACCCTTACAGCAGTTAACTTTTGGTTGAGGAACTGACATTCGAGGAAGTATATGGGCTGGATCGTGAACCCAAGCTGCAGACCTGAAAGCTCGTGTCTGTTAGTTGCAGACAGTACAGTAATACACAAGCTCTCCATGACTCACTAGTATACCTTCCTGTAGTGATGGTGGTATCATTTCTTAGGGGGAAGAAAAAAGAAAAAGAAAAGAAAAGAAAAAGAGAAAAACTCAAGACCAGAACAGGGAAATTTGGAAAAGAGCTAAGAAGACTGCTATATGAAAACATCAGAGTTGGGTCAGGGGGCTCCCATGAGTATGATTCATGTTTACTGAGAGCTATTTGATACTAGACACTGCTGGGTGCTGGAAGCAGCATGAAAACTGTGGCTATTTTATGGTAGGAGATACAGAAAAGGGGAAGAAGCTGGAGTGATACATCATATTGGTTTTATCAGTTTTCATGTCGGCCTGGATGTGTCTTTGTGGGTGTCAGGAAATATGTGGCACTACAGGGCAGGGATAGGATCATCATTTTAGCTTCTCTCAAACTATTTAATTGGCTGCCAGGAACAGTTTACTACCTAGACAACTGTGCATTAATAACACATGTCTAGACAGATAAATATATGAGGATAAACTATATTGTGAGGAGTATAATAAAAATGTTAAGCAATATCGCTTTGTATCTTCCATATATCAAATATCTCAAAAGACACAGAAGATATTTTCCTAGCAATACGACTTACTTATTGCACACATACAATATCATTCCTTCTTTTATGGAGGAAAACAAGTTTCAAGTGCCAGTGAAAATGAAGACATGAAGGTTATACCCTAGTCTTAAATAGGAGCACTGAAATAAATCTTTTGTTTCCTTCTCTAATGCCCATTGTTCTCTGTTCGCCACCACCCTGAAATCACCATTTTTCATTGTTGCATATCTAGCAATTTTTAAGAATTTGATAGTATTGAAACCAGCAGATGGCATAATGGTTATGCTGCTGGACTCCTCTGTAGTTGACAGTGGTTTGAGACCGAGACCTGGAGGCTTGATACTCATGCTGGGCGTGTGTGCCTGCATGCCCAAAATCTTGAGAGTAGAATGGAAGAGAAGGGATTGCAGTGTAGCCATGTCCCCTGGGAGTGATTTCTTGCTTTCCGTCTTTCTGTCTCTGTGTCTCTGGCGAGCATATGTGCCCTACAGCAAAAATCTCTCTTTAAAAAAAGAATTTGATAATACCATGGGTAAAAATAAGTAAGGTCATACAATTTAATATTCCCCTACTTATAATCTTATATTTAAATTATTTTTGGACAAAGGAAACCTTAAGTATATTCACAGCAAGTAATTGTAGCTCTTATCTAAAAATCAAAAGCTAAGAAAAATACTTTGTTTTCCCTCGAACTCTGGAGGAGATTTGTTATCAATGATTAAGAAAATCCCCTGCTCCCCAGTGGATTTAGGTGCAAACAAAACCAACCATGGTGAAGGGTTCTGTTAAAGCGGCATCTTGTGCAGTGGTTTTCAAGAACTGAGAGCTGTTAACCAACAATTGAGACAAGGGAAAACCACAGTTAATACTAGAGTGACAAGCAGCACTTCTAACTGAGCCTCTAGGATGGGAGAAATATCATGAAATGCGAGATTGCTGTAGAAATAACTCTCTGGCATCTCCATTGACATGGGCATGATTGCTTCAATGCAGAAAGAAAAGAAAACAGTGGATAACTATCTTTTTTTTTTTAGGGAGTTTTTTTGCTATCAGGCATCTGCGCTCACCAGAGACACAGAGACAAATAAGACAGAAAGTGAGAAATCATCCCCCAGGGGGGATGGCCACACCACCTTTTCCTCCATTTCCTCTTGGGATTTTGGGCATACGTGCACACATGACCAGTATGAGTTTTAAGCCTCCAGGTCCAAGACTCGAAGTGTGAAGTCTGGGATTCAAAACGTGGTCGGCCGTGTGTGAGTCCAATGATGTAATCATTATACCATCTGCTGGTCCCAGTCACCGTCCTTTTTTTTTTTTTAATTTTTTTTTTTTTAGAGTTTTTTGCTATAGGGCACGTGCACTCACCAGAAAGACAGAGAGCGACAGAGAGACAGAAAGCGAGAAATCACACCCCGGGGGTGGGGGTGGGGGGTGGCCATGCCGCAATCCCTTCCCCTCTATTCTCCTCTCAAGATCTTGGGCACGCACGCACACGTGCCTGGTGTGGTTTAAGCCACTAGGTCTGGGACTTGAACCGCGGTCGACTACATGGGAATCCAGTGACAAAGCCATTACGCTAACTGCTGGTTCCTAGTCACTGTCTTTCTTATAGTAATCCTGACAGAGTCCGTGATACCTGACTCTCTAGACAAGACATGCACAGACACACACTCAATGACCTAAGCATAACATGGATCAGCTCAAAAATGTCAAGCAACCAAAATAATAATCATGATGTTGAGAACACTACCAAAGATCTGCACGTGTCTATATCCAGGTGATTAAAAACATCTTGAGGGGCTGGCTGGTGGTATGGTGGTTAAGGCGCTGGATTCCCACATGGCTGACTGCCATTCAAGTCCTGGACTTGGCAGTTTGATTTCTCTCTCTCTCTCTCTTGTCAAATAGAAGAAAAAGAAGGAATAAAAGATTAAATGATTTTTTTTAAATCTTGAAAATATTGAGCAAATATTACCTTCCCCATTATACTCATGAAAATGAGGAACCTTAGGAGACTGCTTTGAAAACACTAATGAGTAATACTGAATGTGTCTGCATGGAGACTTAAGGGGTAGAATTCAGAAAACAAAACTGCAAACAAAATCACTTTATTTATCAGACATCTTTCTGCTTTTTCCACATAAATAGCTCTTAGTTTGTGTCTACTTTTAGAAATGATTAGGATAGAGTGAGTAGCACTTCATTCGGAAACAATTTGTATCTTTTCATCATCATTCATGTGCACGTAAGTGAGGAATTGTGTGTACATTGAATTCTATTGACAGGGGAAGGCCTGGCTAGGACTGGGGAGTGAAAGGAAGGGAGGAAGGCAGTTGCCCTCACTCAGCAAATAGCACATCCCGGCTCTGTGTTCAGAAGTTTGTACAGTGGAAGAAAATGCAGGTACCCCTGGTCTGCCCACAGAGGCAATGCACACATCTGTCTACTAACACATGGTAGGTAGTTACAGTTAGAGGAAACATACTGACACATCTGTTTACCCTGTGTCTAAGTAAATCTCTTGGTAATTAGCATCAAAACCAGCTGAGAGGTAAGTGGACCAAAGGATTTCACGGGCAAAAACAACAAAACAAAACCAGAACCCAAACTGTTTCATACACAGTGAGTGGCTTGATGACAAACCAATCAAATTGCATTTGTCATATTTTTAAGTAAAACTGTATCTTACGATTTGTAACTGTTGCACCATTTCTTCTCGGTAGGCTAGTTCCCTTTTCATCTGATCCTGAAAGTTATCTAGGAGGAGAGAAAAACAAATTAATTAAAGTACAAAATTTACTTTTAGTATATCCAGTAAAAATATTACGGACAGTTTCATAAACACTTCGTCTTTCAGGTTTTTTAAAGGATTATTTTATTTAGTTTTATTTATTTATTATTATTCTTCAGTTTGACCCGAGAGAGACAGAGAAAGCAAGATGCCAGGTCCAAGAAGGTCGGCCACGTGGGAGTCCAGCACCTTAACCACCATGCCACCTGCTGGCCCCTGTTTCAATTTTTTAAAAAATTTACTTAAAGAGTAAATAATATGATGGAAAAAATGTTTCTAACACTATATTTTTATCAGAAAAACAGTAAATTCTGCAACAGTAAAGTCTATCTTAAATTTCAGAGTATCTCATACCCAGCTAGTCTAATCCCTTGCATGTAATTATGCAGAAAGGTCTGGTGCAATCATCCTCTCTAACCTTTGCACACTTGTGCAAGTCACAGGTATCGAGAGTGTTCACTGCCTTCAGTGCAAGTGGAGGGGGATGAACCTCAGATAGAGCTGGCCTAGGGCATGCTGAATGCCTCTGTTTAAGTAAACCTCTTGGTTATTAGCATTAGAACAAGACCTGTGTCCGTGATGTGTGCCTGCCTGGTTTTACCGCAGCTCTTCTCACTCCTGGAAGAGGGATGAGCATGCTTGGCCTGACTCTTCCAGCCAGCAAACTCACCTGCATCAGCCTTTTCTAAAGTTCTTTCTTTGACCTAGTACTGCTCTATAGACCTAGCCTTGATCCAAGAAGGGAGAATGTTATGAGAGATGGTTATACAAAATAATTTTGCTATTTTACATACTGATTATTTTTATTGCAGAGTGGTGCCTCTTCTCCATGCAGTCTTTTTTTTTTTTTTTTTGAGAGTTTTTTTTTTTTTTTCTATAGGACATGTGCACTCACCAGACAGACAGAAAGAGACAGAGAGACAGAAAGCGAGAAATCATCCCCCAGGGTGATGGCCATGCCGCAATCCCTTTTCCTCCATTCTTCTCTCAGGATCTTAGGCACGCATGCACACATGCCTGGCGTGAGTTTTAAGCCACTGGGTCCAGGACGCGAACCACGGTCAACTACATGGGAGTCCAGCGACATAGCCATTACACTAACTGCTGGTCCCCATGCAGTCTTTTGGAAGCATGGATTTTGGCTTTTTTTGTAAGAATTATTTATTTAATTTTATTTATTATTGTTATTATTATTATTATTATTTACAGTTTTGCTACAGGGCACATAAACTCACCAGAGAGAGGTGGAGAGGGAGAGAGAGAGAAAAAGCAAATTGCCAAGTCTGGGATTCAAACTGCAGTTGACCATGTGGGAGTCTAGCACCTTAACACCATACCACCTCCTGGTCCCCAGATTTGACTTTTTTTTTTTCCTGCTTTAAAGGAGAAATTAACACAATTTCATATTGAATGTATGGTTGACAATGCAGCAGCTTGTAGAAACCAGAAACTTTAGAAACTTCATCTTCTCTTCTTTCATCTCTTTAGCCAACTGGTACATGAGTCCTACCTGCCCTACTTCAGTCCTCTCCTCTCTTTGCTACTATTAGCCACCAAATGTGGCCACCCCCTCTCTGAAGAGTTTCTGACTAACAACCTGGCCTTCATTCCTTCCCTCTTCAAACCCCCTTTTCCCCCTACTTAAAAAAAATCTCTACTAGTTGAGACCAGTAGATGGCATAATGGTTATATCACTGGACTGGATTGGCCCAGATAATCAACTGTGGTTTGAGTCCTGGACCCGGAGGCTTAAAACTCACACTGGGAGCGTGTGTGTGTGTGTGTGTGTGTGTGTGTGTGTGTGAGTACCCAAGATTCCAAGAGGAGAATGGAGGAGAAGAAATTGGGGCATGGCCATCCCCCCTTGGGGTGGTTTCTCGCTTTCTGTCCTTCTGTCTCTCTGGCCCTATAGCAAAAATCTTTCTTTAAAAAAAAATGAAAAAATGAAAAACTTCACGAGCTTTCCATCACTTTCACCACTCATCAGACTGAATACTTAGAGATTAAAAGACTTTATTTTTTTGACTCCTCCCTTTCTATAGTATCTGAAGTCCTTCCCCAGTCCAAGCGTGTAGCAGAACTTATTTTTAAAGAAGACCCAAGCCCTCCTCTCGCCTCTGACTGACATGAAAGGTGCTGCAGCACAGGGAAGAATGTGATGCAATGTGAGGGTGGAGGGGAGGAGCCTTCACATCCTCAGCAGGTGAAATGAAGGAGCTGCTTGAGCGGCTGTGAAGGACCATGGTTTACACAAAGAGTCCAAAGGAGGAGGGGGGACCTAGGAGTGGTCCCTTGCACCCATCACCTACCCACCCACTCCCTAGTCCTCAAACTTGCTTTGTATTTCCTATAGTGCGTGTGCGCTCACCAGACAGACTTCAGCCCTGCTGTGGTGTTGCCCTTACTGAAAATACCTCACTTTCTTTAAGGTTCAGATCAAATTTTACCTCTCCAGGAAGTCCTCTCCAATCTCCTGCCAGAATTAGTCGTCCTTCTTTTGCATTCCTCCAGTACCCCATCTATACCTCCATTAATGCATCCATAATGCATACTATGATTAGTTGTTACCCATCTGTCTTCAGCTCTGTCGGAGAGCAGGAGGGTAAGTTTTAGACACTTTTTATTCTCATGCCCACCATAGTGCTTGGCACACAGCAGGGGATAGCTAATGAATGAGGCATGAAAAGAGCCCAGAGGTATCCACCATAAGGTCTGTATTCTGCCATCGACATAGCCACCGCACTGTGGGGCCGCAGACGTCAGGAACAAGGGCGTGGAGTGATGTGCTCTTTAAAATCCTTCCTTGCTCTAGTTTTTAAAGATTTGATGACAAAGCAAATTGATTTGGTTGGGTTCCAAGCACATGTCTATCTTTGCTGTGTAGGGGAAGGGGGAGTGAGTGATTTCAATTTATGTTGTGATTAACAATTATGGGTGCTGTACTGTATGAGGAGCTGGCATTCCTCCCTACCACTTGGGATGCTCTGGAGGAGGGTCAAAGTCCTTGACTCCAGGCACAGGGCAACAGGAAATCAGCCCTCCACAATACTGATCCAAATGCCTTCAGGAAGATCTGTGTGTTTCTGGGCACCAAAGCACATCCCAAGCAGTTGTCTGTGCAGGAAAAAACTTTGTTCTGAACCTCAGGTTCCTCTGTCCTTTAAGGACCCAAGTAACTGATGGTAAACTGGATGAATTAGGAATGAGCAGCTGTCTAGCTATCTTGGCTAAAGTGCTTCCCTGGGATCCTAGAAGGTTTTGATATCAGAGGGAAATAGTTAAGGGCAATTCATAGTGTGATGATGAAAATTTGTCCTTACTTAATTCACGCTCATTGCTCTGTAACAGTACGCCTAATACAACTCTTTAAGTTAAAATGAAAAAAAAAAAGAATCCATTGTAGTGCCAGAAAAGAATGGTGAGTATTTTTAATAACATTGGGATGGGAAAGGGCGTCAAAGGCAAAAACCAAAAGGAAAAGGTTGATAGATCTGATTAGACAGAAACATAAAGCTCTGACATAACAACAAATTTCAAGCAAATTCAATTTCCCAAACACGAAGCACCATAGTCAACATCTAAAGGTCGCTGATATAAAGCAAAGAATGCTCATGACATGTCAAAGAATTAATATTTTAGTAAAGAGTTCACACTAATCAGAGCTGGCAGGTGATGTGGTGGCTAAGGGCACTGGACTCCCACATGGCCGACCACGGTGCGAGTCCTGGACCTGATGGCTTGCTTTCTCACTTTCTGTCTCTCTTGCTCACTCTCTCTCACTCTGTTCCTCTCTGGGCAAATGAAAATAAATAAGTAAATAAATTAATTAAATTAAGTTAATTCTTTTAAAAAGTTCACACTAATCAATAAGTAAATAAATACATCAAAAGAAATCAGGGTAGAGAATGTAAATGGGCATTCACAAAAACATACAAATAGAACATAGGCATAAAAAGTGTTCAACAGCAGTAGCAAGGCAAGAAAAGGAAACAGGGTCAGCCCTGTAGCCCAGTGATTAAGAGAGCTGACTCCCACATGGCCAACTGCAGTTCACATCCCAGACTAGTGTGTGCATGTATGCGTGTGTGCCCAAAATCTTGATGGAAAGGAGAAATAAAGGAAAAAGGAATGCAGTGTGACCACTCCTATGGGGGGGTGCTTTCTCTCTCTTTCTTTCTCTCTCCTTCTGGTGAGAAGGATTTACAGCCATTTAAAAATAAAGGGAGGGACCAGCAGTTAGCATAATAACTATTTCGCTGGACTCCGCGGTTCACGTCCTGGACCCGGTGGTTTAAAACTCATGTCAGGTGTGTGTGTGTGCGTGCCCAAGATCCCAAGAGGAGAACAGAGGAGAAGGGATTGTGGTGTGACCATCCCCCCTGGGGGGTGATTTCTCGCTTTCTGTCTCTCTGTCTCTCTCTGTCTGTCTGGCGAGCACACGCGCCCTATAGCAAAAACCTCTCCAAAAAATAAATAAATAAATAAATAATAAAGGGAATAATAAGGAGCACTATATTTTCCATTTAAGTTAGCAAAGATTAAAAAAAAGAGGATACATGTTGTTCCAAGGGTGGGAGTGTAGATTAGTGCGACCTTTCTGGAGAGCAACTTGAAATTACATACTAGAGTTTTAAAATTTCATATCCTTTAACACAGGATAGGAGTTTATCCTAAGGAAATAATAACGGATATGTACAAAGATTTAGTTCCAATGGTGACCATCATCTGAAACTTGGGCAAACCTTAATAACCAACGTAAGAGCACATTCATAAAATGTAGTAATGGAAAAGATTGCATTTTAAATGAAAAAAAGGGAGGGTTAAAACGGTGTGGATAGGGCCAACAAATGGCCTGGGGGTTATGGTGCTGAAACACTCCTGACCGACTCCATGGTTTGAGTCCCATTCCCAGTGACTTGAAAAACATACTGGGCACATGTGCAAGCATATCCAAAAACCCCAGAGG